ACACACACACACACACACACACACACACACACACACACACACGACCCCAAGAGGAAGGAAGCCTCCCACTCCCTCACCCACCCCCAACCGCAAGGGCACACTTGGGCAGTGCCCAGAGGCCTCCAGGAAGTAAACAAGTCTGGGGTGTTTTACGCATGCGCTCTGGAGCTGAGCTGGGCGGCCACGCTCCCCTCGCTCAGGATGGAACGCGGACTCTGGGCAGGGGCTTCCAGATGTGAAATGCTTACAGGCTTTAATGGCTTGAGCTGAACAGGAAATATTTTTCCAAAGCCAAAAGAATGTAATCTTTCCAGTACAATGTAAAATGCTTTTATGAAAAAGGCACACAGTTGAAATGATAATTCATTGCAGACTGTAAAGAAAATGAAATCCCCAAACGAGCCCCCAATTTAAGAATTCACTTTAAGCATGTGTTTGCTGTAGTCACCAGAACGACAACCAAGTGGTACCTCGTAAAGCCTACTTCTAGGGAAAATACTTAAATCAGTCAGGATCTTTGTACCAAAGTTCCAGTTCCTAGGGCAGCATGAATGGTGTCCCACTGAGCCACGGCCTGTCACCCAGTGTCCATCAGCCACAGCCTCTACTGGGTCAGCCCCTGCTGCTCAGTCCGGCAAAGCCTAATGCTCTAGGGCCTTCCCAGCACTTTTTGGTCCTCCCGATATAAACAGCAATGCCAATTAATGAAAACCCTGAAAGAGGTCAATGCTGTGCACTTAGCCAGTCATTCAGTATCACTTGCAGAATATTCTCTCCAAATACTACCTCACCACAAAGATGAGCAAAGTTCTTTTATTTTAGCAAAGTGAGATATTTCTCATATGGGGCTATTATTAGGAGAAACATTAATAGATATTTTAAATTTTACTAGCCCCGCTCTTGAGAATTTTGACCTCAAGGAAAGCCTCTGTCTATCCATCAGTTAACTACAAGGCAATATGTCACTGGAAAAGCTGACTGTAATCACTTGATTTTTCTGTAGTCATGTGGGTTGTCATTCTTGAATTACAGTTAAGAACAACTCTTGCTCATAATATGTGAAAAAAATCTCAAGGACACAAAATTATAAGGTAGTATTCTACTTTTATTTTTCAAGAATGGTTAAGGGTGGATATTCCTAATATAGAATTTTTTTTTTGCTTTTCTTTATTTTTCACACCAGTGGTCTGCTTTTCCCTCACAAATCAATTTTCTTCTGAAAGGAACTTATAAGAAAGAATGCATATTATAGAAGAAACTGCCAAAGGGGATTAAGTGACTAATTTGGGACTTAGCAGGAAACTTGGAGACTAGTTTGTAACCAGAGAGAGGAGAGCACCAGGAGACACCAAGGCATATTGCAAGAAGGGTCTGTGGAGTTCTGAACCCACATGTTCTACACACCCAAGGCTGTAAGGGCAGCCCCTAAAGGGAGAAGATTCGTCAATGCTACCTCAGGTGCTCAGAATTCCGGACCAGGAATCCATCAGGTTCCCCGTTTCTAGAGAAACATGTTTTACCACACAGTGCAATCCCAGAGCTGTGTGCCTTTGAGCTGTATGCTTTAAAACTCCATATTCACAGGGCACCTGGGTGGCTCAGGTGGTTGGGCATCTGCCTTCGGCTCAGGTGATGATCTCAGGGTCCTGAGATCGAGCCCTGAGTCAGGCTCCCTGCTCGGTGAGGAGTCTGCTTCTCCCTCTCCCTCTGCCCCTCTCGCCCCCTGGTTGTGCTCTCTCTCCCTCTCTCTCAAATAAATAAATAAAGTCTTAAGAAAAATTCCATATTCACAAATGCAAACTTCATCTTGAGCCTCCAAAGCTTTCACCACACCACAGGATGCCTTCAAACTAAGAACTACTTTTAACTTAAAGGATGACTATGTTTAACTAAAAAAAAAAAAAAGGAGGGTTGTTGCATATACTGGTATCCCCCACTTTTCAAAAGTTCAAATGACACCACTTTGCTTTTATGAAAGAGCTCCCTGTTTTCACTAACTGAAGAAATCCAAAGAGGACTTTTGCTTTGATGATAAAAGTGAAAAGCAAAAATAGTGTTGAGCGTCAGTTCTGCAGTGAGCCCTTATAGACACACTGCACAGCTGAGCCCTGAACGTGGTCCTGACAGGCTCCTTCCCCAGGAACTAATCACGCATCAAGCTAAGCTCCCAGAACTCTGAACAGTGTCCGTGAGCATCTGCCCTTTATCTCGATTTATTTTATGTATCCCTTAGCAAGATGCATCCTAAGCTATCAGACAAGTCTAAGACAGGTTAGTTGTGGGTCTAGGCATGCTCAAAACCTTTTCCGTGTACATTAATGGTAACCGATTCTTCTCTTTACATGGTTCCAGCTTACGAGAGGTTTCATGGGAACACTCTACTTCCAGAGAGCAGGGGGAAACCGGTTGCGAGAAATACCCACAGGTGTGCAAAACACTGCCTGGCATTTACTTCCTATCAAAGAATCCAAGTCTGTACAGCCAGCAGGATGACTCTCCTCATGCCATTCCAGCCTTTTCCCAAGCACATCCATAAGATAGGCTGTGAACAGGGCTTCCAAGGCCAGCATGTTTCAAAAAGGAGGTCCGCAGTGGCACTTAGGGGCGCCTGGGTGGCTCAGTCGGTTAAGCGTCCGACTCTTTGATGTTGACTCAGGTCATGATCTCAGGGTTGTGGGATCGAGCCCCTTGTCGGGCTCCACACTCAAGCAGGGAGTCTGCTTGAGATTCTCTCTCTGCCTCAGCCCACCCTGCATGCTCACACTCTCTAAA